GATCTGTACGCATTTCTCTGTTTTGTTGGAACATACTAGATTCCCAAATTTAATCTTCTGAATATGTCCCTCTAAATACTTTCGTCGGACTGTAAATCCCTGTTTGTAACTGAAGACTAATAGAATCTGAAATCATTGATAGAATCTGATGATGTCTGTCCCACTAAAGAAAATTATGCTTTACCAAATACCTGAGGACCTATTGCATTCATCTGGTAGTTCTGTATTACTGAGCTTTCCAAAGCTCACTCTGTTAATTACCATTTCAGGTTAAAGAGTTTGATCTTGTGCTGTTACCGACATCAGTAGAGAAGTTCCACTGACGTTGCTTGCGGAGTATGATGCATGTGACTAGGGGACATGTAGGTTGTATTTTGTTTTTATATTAGAGTCTGAAACTTGTTTTATTATTGGATATTGTTGAATTCTACTTTTAATATATAAATGATGTTCTGAACTTGTATTTTATCTATAAATTATTTTATAGTTTTAAATGGATTAATGAAAATTTTAAAATTTCCAGGATTTTCAGTCCGGATCGCTCCGGTGGCCCTAATGTTATACCTCGAATCGGATCGGGTCACCCGCATCGGTCTGAGAGTGTTACAATTTCTATCTTGTAAAAAAAAGATCACATTTAAACACTTGAAAAAACTTAGTTTTTTATTTTTTGGTAAAAAGGTATGAACTCATTGAACAAATCATACATGGGAAATATTATCACATGAGGACATGAAAAATTTTAAAAACACTATAACAAATCATTTAGATCCCAAATTAATTTTCCAACACCTATATTTCTTTAATTTTTTTCCGTTTAGATTACCTGCCCATCAAAGCCTACATTTATCTACTTATTCCAAAAATATATATTACTTTCAAATATTTTTAAAAATATTATTTCTACCGTTAAGTACAAGTATTATTCTCATAAAATTCTCATGAATGCAGACACTTCCACACCATCCCCTAATCCAAAATACAAGATATGCTTTATTAAGTATGTAAATATTATAAAGATATATAGGTCAAATTTGTACTTTAATCCCTATACTACGACCAAGTATGCAAATTAGTCCTTGTATGTTATTAATGTGAACGGTAAATCCAAATTGTTAACAACATTAAACTTACCACTAATATTTTGTTGTGATTTCCAAATAAGCTTTCACATGATGTCGGAGTACTAGAATTTTCCGTCCAGTTACAGTCTCTATCTGCATCAGACATCATAAATATTTCGATTTCACTGATGTTTCTGTGATAGAAAACTCTTTTTTGATTGATTATGGAGATTTTTTTTTTTTTTTTGAGAATAGGCCATTTGAAGGGTTTTGTTTCATATGAATGAAAGTTATGACAATAATTTTTTGTGTGTGAGTGATTACTAAAGATGGATATAAGATTTTATATCATAAGACAAATTTTTGAAATTTCAGTTTTTGTGATTCTAATGTAATATTTGTTTAGAATCTTTCTTAGTCATTAACAATGTACACATCCTGCAAATAAAACTGCTCGAACTTAAAACCTCTAAAAGAATAACATTTCATTTAACCACTTAAATCGCTTAACAAATTCTTATGGGTTAGACTTTAGATTCGATACATCTGCAAAAAAAATACATCTATAGATATTAGGGGTGTGCAAATCCGGGTACTTGGGTTTTCGAGTACCCAAATCTTCGAGTAATTGATTTTTCAGCCTGTGTCCCGACCCGGATGTTACCAGGTACCCGGATTTTGTGGGTACCCGTATTTCGGGTACTCAGATACCCGAGTTTTTCTTCAAATTATTAATTAAAAAAACACACACACATTTAAATGTTCAAAACTTCGAATTACATAGTCCAGCATCCAAACATAAAATTTAAAAGTTCGAAATACAAAATCTAATAATCCATAATATAAATAAAACATAAAAGTTCATAGCTAAATATATGAGTAGATATTTTGATACTTAAATCATGATCATGGTTACACTTCTTCATTTGTCATTCTACTTTCCTACAAGCAATTCTTTTATTAGATATAAATAAACTATAAGTTTACAACAACCAATATCTTAAGAAAATGCAAAATGAAAACATAACTAAACTTTTATCATAATAAATATCAAGTAAAACTTTCATCAATGAAAATATCAAGTAAAACTTTCATCAATGAAAATATAACTAAAATTTAATAGCTTACCAAAGTTTGGGACTAATGACCTATGGGAATTGTTCTTCATATGTGACATCCGGAATTTCACTTGTTTCATCAATGATAATTGTTGATTGCTCTGAAGTTAAATATTGCATTTTTATATTAAGTATTTAAAGTATACAATCGTTACAATGTATTAGGTATGTTTTAAAATATAACCATTTAAATATCTAAACATGAAATTGAAGACTAACTTTCTTCCATATTCTCCAATGCTAGCAATATCTAAACATTTAAATAATATAATATTATTTTATATATAAAAAAATCCCTAATTGGGTATTCGGGTACCAGAAAAAATTCAATTTTGTGACTCGGGCCCAATCCGATGGTTCAATGAATTTAAAAAAAAAACTAAATTAGAATATTAAACATTTGATTAGTATGAAAGAAATTACAATTATTGAATTTTCTTTATTTCCCATACGTTAATATAAAAACAATTTTATTAAATTAAATGAATCATAAAGACAATACAAAATGGGTAAACTACATGTTTAGTACCCTAACTATAATTTTTGTTCCATTCTAATCATCCAGCTAGTTTTTTTTCAAAATCATACATAACGTTTCATTTTAGTTTCATTTTGATAACTCGCTATTAAAAGATTAACAGAACTTCTAACATGACATTTTTTAAGAAAATTACGATGATGATGTGACATTATTTTATGATAACATATGTGACCAAAATAAAATCAAAACGTAACATTAGATATAATTTTGAAATATAAAATAATTAGATAACCAAAACAAAACAAATAGTGATAGTTGAGATACTAGTTTACATGTAGTTTATCCTAACAAAAATCATCAAATATTTTTTTTATCTTAATATGGGTAAATACAAGGTAATATATGTTTAAAGATAATTTTCAACAATTTGGCATTAAATGCTTACACCCCTAGCATTCATGATGTTTGAACTCGATACATCAAGAAATAACAACTTTTTTACCATTGAGATCATTTGTTCGTTCAATTCATCAAATACTTAAAATTTCAACAAACAATTATAATGATTAATTAGTTAGATCAGATGAATTTATTTGTTTCTAATCCATCAGTTTTCACCAGAAAAATAAATAAATAAATAAATAAATCACCTTAGCACAAATGGACACACCGACACACCCCCGTGGGGTCGATTAATGCAATTCTTTCACATTTATCTTCCTTCGGCTGCTGCCCCGTTCTTCCGTTGTTGTTTGACTCTCAAATCTCTTTCAAAACCCCAAAAAGTATAGGATAAACTACGTGTGTAGTATCTAAGCTATTACTTTTGTTTTGTTTTAGTATTCAAATTTTATTTTTTAAATTATACTTAATGTTTAGTTTCAGTTTCAGTTTGATACTCCATAGTTAAAAAATTAATAAAACTGTTGACGTGATATTTTTTAAATTTTTTCAATGATGGCGTGACATTACCTTATGGTGATACGTCAACATTACAATTAAGTTTTTAACGACGAGATATCAAAAGGAAACCTAAATTACACATTAAGTATAATTTTGAAAAATAAGTTTGGATACCAAAATGAAAAAGTAATAGTTTAGGTACTAAGCACATATTTAACCCGAAAATATATTAGGTAAGTTATGTGTTTAGTACCTAAACTAACAAATTTGATCCATTTTAGTACCTTAACTTTTAATTTTTTTCAAAATCATACCAAACGTTTAGTTTTTGTTCATTTTAGTACCCCACCATTAAAAACTTAACGGACGGGCTTGTCGGTCGCTGGCCATTGTTTCTGTCGGTCGATGAAGCCCAAACTTTCTAACCAACACCTTTTCGACCACCTGAACGCGATTTTGACCGTTGTTTCACCGAGAGACGCCTCAATCTCCCCAAATCGATGATGAACTCTTAGATTTCTTCATCATCCGATCTCGATGGTCCACCGTCCGATGGGCTTGAAACTGGACTGCTGGTCAACTCGTCATTCTCTCGTGGTCCGCCATTTGGATTGGTCTTCCATCCATCAGAGCTATGTCACGTTAGCCCATTCGTTAAGTTTTTAACTATGAAGTACTAAAATGAAACAAAAATTAAACGTCAGGTATGATTTTTTTAAAAATAAACATTTAGTTGCTAAAACAAACTAAAACTGAGTTTAAGTACTAAACTGTAGTTTACCCAAATATATTATATCATCTAAGATAAATACGAAGTAGTTCCTTGTGAAATCCTACTCGCATAAAATCAAATACGGCTTTCATTTTGTCTTCTTCTTCATCTTACCTTAAATTTTTTTCCTAAAAATCACCTTTTCCTTATATATTTACACCCTTTCAAATATATTCAAATATATTTCTTGATTTAACACCCTTCAATTATATTAGAAACTCCTCCACTGGAATTCGTTATCTTTCGTCTGCCCAGATTTTATAGCATTGGTTTCCCATCCATCATCAACCCTAGAATTCCAGTCCCACGTTTGATTCTTGCAATCTGAACCCAGTTTCATAATTTGTTAAAGAACATAAAGTTTCATTTTCATTTCCCATTTTTTCCAAGTTTCTGTTTCTTCAAACAGGAGAAAAGGAGTCTAGTCAAATCTTGGTTTTGGGGGCGGCGGTTTCCAAGAAAAAGTTGCTTCTTTCTCTCATCGTTTTATCATTATTTTAACCGAATTCTTTAGAAAAGTATCCAATTTTCATTTTTGTTTCTTTTAGAATTCTACAGTTCCGTTGTTGAAAACAAAAATCGTGACCGATTCTGTTCACTGCAGACAATTCCTTTCTTTTCACTGTTCATTAAGGTCTGGCGAGATCATTTTTAGGACCCCAATGTCCGTCCAGCGGCGGCAACCCCTGCTGCAAAGCCGTTCTTCTTCCAACTCCTTCCGCTCCTCCACTGTCGACGGCGGCGGAAGCTCCAGGAACAGTGCCAAATTTGGGGAGTTTTGTGGGGGTACGACAGCCGAGTGTGCTGCTATTTGTTGTTGTTGTCCTTGTTCCGTAGCAAACCTTCTAGTTTTAGCATTTTACAAGGTACCCGTAGGGCTATGCCGCCGCGCTCTCCGCCTGAAACGGCGGCGTAAGTTGAAGAAGAAGGGGTTGATTCAGCCGAAGAACCACCTGGGTGATAAGCAAATTTGTGTGGAGGATATTTTCCCGGACGTGAAGCGCTCTGAAGAAGCCGAGAAAGCGGTGGTGGAACTGGAAAAAGAGATGTGGCAAAGATTCTATGGCACTGGATTTTGGAGAAGACCTTCTCAGAGAGTAGAGTCACCCAGAAGAATTAAACAACTATAATAAACACTTCCATTTTTGCTGCAATTCTTGTATATTGTGGTGCTGGGATTTTGATTTCTGTTTTCATCAATGATGAAAATGGCAAGATTTTGATAAATTCATCAGTGAAATGTATGTAAGTGTTGCCTCCATTGCTTCATGTTACTTGTTTTTAGATTCTTGATCATCACTTTTTTTATGGGATTCCGATTCAATTAAACCGATTCTAGACTGTTTATATAATATCAAGTTGCTTATTACTCAATTAAAAAATTAGTAAAATATGGGATTCCGATAACATCATCGGTGAAATATGGGATTTTGAAAATTACCCAGTTTTCAACCAGTAATTTTGCACCTGACCCTCAATCCTTGTTCTGTAGTTCAACTCAACCATCCTATTGCAGAATCTCTGTTCCATTACTTTCTCTGCTACTGGGATTTCTCACTTTTGTTATTGTGTTCACATTTCCTCCAAATTTTGCATATGATTTTGTTTCGAAATAACTATATAAATGTCAAAATATTTAAAGTTTAATCGGTTAAAATAAAATAGTCGCTACCTATTATGTTAAACTACCTACCGGTTTGTTTGAAGGTTACTAATAATGTAACCAGTAAAATAAAATAGGTCTTACCTATTATGTTAAATAGGTGCTACCTATTACGTTAAATAAGCGTTACCTATTACGTTAAACTAGCTATCGATTTGTTTAAAAATTAATAATAATGTAAACGGTAAAATAAAATATGTGATACCTATTACATTAAAATATCTATCGATTTGTTTAAAGATTACTAAAAATGTAAAAGGTAAAATAAAATAGGTTCTACCTATTATGTTAAATAGGCACTACCTATTACGTTAAATAAGCGCTACATATTACGTTAAACTAGCTACCGGTTTGTTTAAAGGTTAATAATAATGTAAACGATAAAATATATACAACTTAACCGCTTGAAATATATTTTTTAAATTCGAAAGTATTGATATTTACTCTAAAAGTATGGATACTCTAAATGTTAATAATAATGTATACATACTTACTCTAAAAGTATGGATATTGTTTCGACAGTAATGTAAACGGCAAAATATACACAACTTAATCATTTAATTTTTTTTAAAAAAAATTCGAAAGTATCAAATACTTACTCTAAAAGTATGGATACTCTAAAGGTTAATTATAATGTATTCATAATAATAATGTATCCATACTTACTCTAAAAGTATTGATATTTGCTGTAAGTATGGATACTTGCTAAAGTATCAACCATCATATCATAGTAGTATCAATGTTTATTTTAAAAATAATTGTCATCCAAGGAAACGTAATATATTAAATCTTACCAATATCATTAAACACAACTTTAATATTTCAGATTGCAACCTACTTCTTTATTCAAAATAACATTATTGGGCGCAACCTAGTGTCGTAATTGTCCTTCGGGTGGGTCAGAAATCGGGTTTCGAATAAATTTTGATGTGTTGGAGCTGTCACCGATCATTTGAAATTAGGTTGATCGAACACTTTAACTTACCTTTTATCTGATCTGTATTTTACCAGAAATTTAACGGATTCGGAAGTCGATTACAGTCAGGGAATGATTAACACCCATGTATTGTCCTTTTGGTACCAATTTGATTTCTCAGTTGTCTTAATTGAGAAAATTAAAAGTTAAATTAAATTTTAAAAGATCGATACGAGTTACTTACGTTTGACGAATTTTAAAATTGTCCTAAAAATAAATCACATTAATGTTAAATAATAAAATAAAATAAAAATATTACATAAATAAAAGAGTTAAAAGACAATTCAAATTAAAATGGATTAAATTGAAAAGAATTAAAATTCAAGGATCAAATTGATGTTAATTGAAAGTTGCAAGGAAAAATAAAAAGTTAGAGGGTCAATTTACGAAATATATAAACAGGGACTAAACAGAATTAATTCAAAATACAAGGGTAAATTTACAATATGTGATCAAAATGAACTACACATCAAACCTTCAGGGACTACGCAAATAATTTAACTACTTCATAATTACACAATGGCTCTCTCTATAAATAGCCCTTAAAACCAAAAAAACATTTTCAAACATTTATCAAATATTAACCCTCTCTCTTCTCTCAACTTTCCCCTAGCCGGCCGAAAACCGGCCACCCACTGGTAACCATCCGTCGCCCGAACCACCGTTGACCACTGCTCCAGTCGCCACCACCAGTGGCCAGAAAAACGGTAATCGACTTAAAATGTTCCTCTCGTCCCCGTAAACTTAAAATCGAGGCCTAAACCCTCTAAAAATACACTCACCAACATAGATCGAAACGCAAAGATCGAAACTTTACCTTTTCCGATGATAGTTTTTTGCTTTCTCGGTGATCCCTCTTCTCCCGAGCCAAAACTGAAGCAACCACTGATTTTTTTGCGATTTTTATTTGTTATTTTTTAATGTTGCTCTTGATTGATTCTCGTTTTTTTCTGTGTAGTATTGCTTTTTCTTTTTTCGTGTGTTGCTTGTACGACTTGCAGGGGCTTATATTCACCCGGTGGCTATTGGTCGAAAAATATGGGGTTTTTCCCCTCGTTTTTCGGTTTGCTTAGATTTTGGGGATATATTTCCCTCTTCGCCGAGGGTCATAGAAGTATGGTTCTTGTTTGCTCCGAATTCTGCTGTGATTTGGGTACTTTGAGATACCAAAAATCTCAACAGGTTGGTCACCGGAAACTAGCCGGGGATTCTCGGTGTTGCTAGCGCGTGACTTCCCTTGCCAGCGTGTGGTCCTCACGCGCCATTCAATGTCTCCCTTGAGGTGCCTTTACCTAATGTTGAAACCCTAGCCCCCTGCTGGGTCAGGCATACGGACTTGGGGCCAAACCAGGCTTGCTGGGTCAGGCTTGCTTCTGTTGGGCTTCCACATACCCTTGCTGGATTAGACTATAGTTTGGACCACTTAATTAGACCCTGAAAAAAATAAAAAAAACATATTAATAAATATAACTTAATAATAATATAATATATATATATATATATAATAAATAACACGTACATTATATTTATTTTAAAACTATATAACATACATTATATTTCAAAAACTATATTATGTTTTCAAAAAAAATCTTTTTAAAAACTATGTTATATTTTTTCAAAAATATTATATATGTTTTCAAAAACTGTTTTTTAAAACTATATATTATATTTTTTCAAAATAATGTTTTCAAAAACTATATTATATATTTTTTAAAAACCATTTTAAAAACTATATATTATATATTTTCAAAAATATGTTTTCAAAAACTATATTATATATCTTCAAAAGCTATATATTATATATTTTTGAAATTATATATATATTATCAATATATACTATATAATGTAATAAAGACCCTTGAAGATCCGGATAAAAATGGGTGTCTACACCTAGTATGTTAATATTTATTTGTAACATGTTGAGTTAATCGATTGACGGAATCGGCCAAGAGGGGGTGAATTGGCAATATAAAAATTTTGGTGGAAGCTTTTGCAGAAAATTGAAAGTAATTGCACAGCGATTTATAGTGGTTCGACTTTCTCAACCAAAGTCTACGTCCACTACATTAGCTATCCACACTAAGGATTTTTCAACAAATTCACTAATTTGTTCTTTCTTTTGAGGCCAAAGAGATAACCTTACAACTCCCTCAAGAATATATCCCAATTCTTGAGAACACTCTTTTCTCAAAGAGAAGATTACAAATTTGCAAACTTACAAGAAAAACCTTACAAGGAAAATATGTTTGCACAATTCTAGAACAAATAAAGAACACTCAAGAATAAATACAATTGAGCACAATAAGTGTTCTTGAAAGAAAATTGAATATTGAATGAAAAATAGGCTTGAAAATGCTCAAACTTGAGGTTTGATGCTTTCTCTTTTATTCTCTCTTGATTCTAGTTGCTTGATGTTTCTTGTTATTGATCAATGGCTTCTAAGCTTGTTTAAATACACCTTGAATCACTTCTGAACGTTGGGGATCATTAATGAAGTTATTGGAGCCGTTTAAGTGTGAAAACAATTAATATTTCTACTTGGAGCGTGGGGGGAATCGGTACCCCCTCATGGGGAATCGGTTCCCAAAGTGTAAAATTCAAATATTCGACCGTTGAACAGTGGGGGGGAATCGATACCCCCTGGGGGGAATCGGTTCCCTCCGAGCATACTGGAATTTCTCGGAGCAAAACCATTCAGGGGGAATCGATACCCCCTTGGGGGAAATCGGTTCCCTCTGGACAAACTGTAATTTTTGGCTTTGAAACGGTTCGAAATATTTTTTAAAATCGTTTTGAAATTAATTTAAGATTAAAACTTAATTTTACACTTGAGTAAGGATTTAAAATGAACTTTGAAATACTTTGAGTAATATATTGATATTCGATTTAATATATCGAATATGCTTAGAAAAATCTTTTTCAAAATTAAAATTCTTTTAATTTAATTTGTTATATCGAAACATCAAAATGTTTTCAACAATCTCCCCCTTTTTGATATAACAAAACATTTTAAGATTTTCTAATTTCAAAATGAATTTTGATTTTGAAAAATACTACTCTCCCTTACTTTAACACTTTCTCCCCCTTTTTGTTAAATTAAAAAGACCCTATAAAAGCGTTTTAAACAAGAGTTTTGAAAAACGTAAGCCAATTGATTTATTAAATATAAAGCTTAAGTTGCTAAGATCACAATCAAAAGAGAGGTTAGCCATTAGTTTCATAATCAATATTCATAAACATGTAATGGATAATTGGTCATATATGTCTAAAGATGCAAAATAAACACGAAATCCAAATCAAATGTATTAAACATAAGTTTGAACAACCAAAAATAAACAATCCAAAAGCATTCAAAATGTTTTAACAATAATGCAAATATCCAAGTTCAATTCAAACAAGAAAAGCAAAGATCAAAGTTCAAGCATCCGTAGGAGGATCGGGAGGTGGGAAATGAGCTCCCATAGCTGCCATTTCATGAGTGAGTGCATTAA